CTGTGGGTAGCATGGGTGCCGCAAGGACAGTCGTTATGTTCCTGGGGACCAAGAGGTCTTTGTGCAGAGAGAGAGGGACAGGACAGCCTTTTCAGCATATGCATGGGAGTGTCGTCATCTCAACCGCGTTTCTGTGGGTGATGTGATCCGCTGTAAGAAAACATTGCTCAAGGCACTTGCTTTTGAATTGACACGTGAAATCAGCAGTTGTGAAAAGACTGAACTCTAGCGTGTGTTTCACTTGTTTTGCCTCTGAAGTTGGGTGCTCTTATCTGCCCTGCTCTGAGTGTGAACAGCTCTGAGTGCTGTGTGAAATATTTGATGAGGTCCTCTGTTTGCCTTTTCTAGACGCCGGGAGGCTCTGCTCCTGCCCAGGTGGTGCACACCCAGCCCCCGCCACGGGCAGTCGGCTCCCCAGCCACAGCGACCCCTGACCTGGTGTCCATGGCAACGACTCAGGGTGTTCGAGCAGTCACTTCTGTGACAGCCTCGGCCGTGGTCACTACCAGCCTGACCCCAGTGCAGACCCCGGCGCGGTCTTTGGTGCCCCAGGTGTCCCAAGGTAAAGCCAGGCTGGGAGCTTTCTCTGACACGCGTCTGCTGTGGCGCGTGTGAGGGCTCAGCTGCTGCTTGCTCTCTGAGAATGAGGATCTGAAGGTGGGCGAGTATCCCTGTCCAGACCTAATGAGCAAACCTCTTCATAGCCACAGGAGTTCAGCTCCCTGGAAAAACCATCACACCTGCACATTTCCAGCTTCTCAGGCATCAGCAACAGCAGCAGCAGCAGCAGCAGCAGCAACAGCAACAGCAGCAACAGCAGCAGCAGCAGCAACAGCAGCAGCAGCAGCAGCAGCAGCAGACGACGACGACTTCTCAGGTGCAAGTTCCGCAGATCCAAGGCCAGGCCCAGTCTCCAGCACAGATCAAAGCTGTGGGCAAGCTGACGCCGGTGAGCATTTCCCGGAGGACCATGGACGTGTGCGTCTTGTGGTCAGTCAGCCCAGCGTCTGTGAGGTGGTGCCTGCTTGCATGGTGCAGTCCAGAGTGTATTTTGCAAACGTCTAGCACTGCCTTTTTGTAGGACGCGTGCTTCGTTTTATTGATCTAAAACTTCCCATGTCGTAACACTTTGATCATGCCTTAGAGAAGTATCTTACGCGTATTCAGAGCACTTTGAAGACATTAACACCCAGCATGCAAATGTGTCTTCTTGCTTAGGGGTCTTGTGCCTTGTGTTCAGCATCAGTCTCTAGGGAGGACTAGACAGCCCGCTTGGTGCGGTTCTGGACCAGAGAAAGTGCTGGTGAGAAGGCATTCCTCACAGTGTCGGGAGAGCAGGCAGTGGACCCTGGCTTGGTTTCGGTGTGGTTCGTGTGCAGTACTATTTCTCAGAGGTGGTCATTGGGGTACTGATGTACCTGATTTTTGCTAACCTCTGTACCAGCTTTGCTGTTCTTTATGTAAATGTATTCATTTTAAAAGGAAATGTTGGGCTGGGCGCAGCGGCTCACGCCTGTGATCCGAGCACTTTGGGAGGCCGAGGTGGGCAGATCATTTAAGGTCAGGAGTTTGAGACCAGCCTGGTCAACATGGTGAATCCCTATCTCTACTAAAAATAAAAAAGCCAGACGTGGTGGCGGGTGCCTGTGATCCTAGCTGAGGCCCGAGAATCGCTTGAACCTGGAAGGCAGAGGTTGTAGTGAGCCGAGATTGTGCCACTGCACTCCAGCCTGGGCGACAGAACGAGACTCTGTCTCAAATGAAAAAAAAAGGAAATGTTATACCCCTACCATAAATGGAAAACCATTAATACTTGTCATAGAAAGTAACCAGAGAAATATATGGAATGAAGACAAGACAATATTTTGAAGTTTCAGCTCACTGTTGGGCCTGCCGGAGTGCTTGAGTCTGGGCCTCTCCATGGTCTAGAAAGGAGGAAGTGGGCTGCGGGAGACACAGACTCAGCTGAGGGCCTGTCCTGGGGCTGTCAGCAGGGCTGTTGGTGGAATTTAGACATCGAGCTTATCCTGTTCCTGTCACACCAGCCATTCCTCGAGGGCTCCGTGGTCATATGTGGCTGTGGCTACCACCCTGGGCAGTCCTCGTCTAGCCCACTTGTATCCTGCAGGAAGTGGCGCTGGAGAGGGCTAAATTAGAACACTGTGCTCAGGAACTCCAGGCCCAGCAGAGGCAACTATCGGAGCCAGAGCTGGGCTTTGACCCCCCAGCCCACAGCCACACAGGTGCCTTTACCTGCCGCTGTTCAACCAGTGAGACACCAGTGCCTTCGGCGTCGAGGCTGCCACCCAGCCTTGGCTGCCAGGAGTCCTGTGTGCCGGATGTTTGCCTGGCTCCTTCGTTCCTCACTCTGCCCTCTCCCAAATCCATTTCAAAGCCAGTTTCACTTCCAGCCTTTCAAAAGACACTTGATAGTCCTGATCAACTTATTATAGGTTTTCTTAAAAATTTTTTTCTTAAAATGTTTTTTGAACTTATAAACTAATAAATAAGTTTGGTTGGCACTACCGATTTAAATCGACTTGTTGTGAGGGATAATAGAAATTTTGCTATGAACTTATCAGTCAGAATCCCCGTTTGTAGCTTTCACCTGACAAAATGCTTATTTTTAATAAATGAACACCTGAAAGATACTGGGCAGCCCATAGAAGGCAGTCTGGATGCTGCACAGTAGCAGGTGCCTGCTTTGGTATTTAGTGGGCAGTAGAGGGGTGGCTTAGGATCAAGATGTCTACTTAAGAATGGAGCACAGTTAATGTTGAAGAGAAGATACTTTGCTTGTATTTTAGGAACACCTCATCAAAATGCAGAAGCAGAAACTGCAGATGCCCCCGCAGCCCCCGCCGCCACAGGCCCAGTCTGCGCCCCCGCAGCCAACAGCCCAAGTGCAGGTGCAGGCCTCACAGCCCCCGCAGCAGCAGAGCCCCCAGCTCACCACGGTCACGGCCCCAAGGCCTGGAGCCCTGCTGACGGGCACCACCGTGGCCAACCTCCAGGTGGCCCGGCTTGTAAGTGTCAATTTCTGTTTATTTTCCAAAAGCAGCGTCTTTTTATGTTTTAACACAGCTATTGTGCTTGCTCGGCTGCGTGTCACGTGTTACAGGAGTGAGTGTGAGATGGGATCTTTTCCCCAAGAACTTAGTGCCCCTTGGACAGAGGACGGGACTCACCACTTGTGGAGCATTAACACAGCAGCAGCTCCCAGAGGCCATCCAGGCATCAGCAAGCTTCTCAGGGCCTGAATGGGGGTGGGTGGAGCTTGAGCAAGGTGAGGTGCAGCCTGCGTGGCGTCCTGTGCTGCTGAGGGAGCGTGCGGGGACCAAGGCCCGCGTGGCTGGAGCAGAGGGCGCTGTGCATGTAAGCCGTAGGCATGGGTAGGTAGCCGTCTCTGAAGCTGCTCTCAGGTGACCGCTGGAGGCAGGAGAGCATTTGGAGATTTCAGAAGGGACTAGCATCAGGCACAAGTGCTGTCTGGGAAGACCGGCTCTCAGCAGGTGCCAGCGTCCCGGGGCAGGCAGGGTCCCTGCACCCTGAGCAGAGCTTAGCTAGGGGTGCTGGTGACAGCTGCCCTGATAGAGGCTCACCCTGAGCTAGACTTTGCCCTTTGTTCTCTTGTGTCTTTCACCTGGCACAGCGCTCATGGACTGCCCCAGACAGGGATAAGGGTCTTACTATTAATTCCATTTTACAGGTTGAGAAACTGAGGCACATAGGCTAAGTTCCCACCCAAATTCCACAACCAGTCAGCTGCAACTCAAGCTAGGATTTGGGGACCTGGGTGCTCAGGCTCAGCTGTGTGGGTGCTGGACCCCCACTTTGGGTCTTCCCTGGGGGGGGCTAGCCCTCCACAACAGAGTGAGTAGAAGTGGATGAAAAACTACAAAAGGGTGCTCGGTTTCAATCATGTTCACAAAAATGCAAATTCACTGAGAAGAATGGTAACACCTAGTGGTGGCCAGGGCACAGGGGTCTTGTTGGACAGGAATCAGTGGCCTCTTTTTGGAGAGGATTTTGGTAATTAAGCTATAAAAATGTGCTTGCTTATTTAAGTAAACAGTCCTCTTATGTCCTAGAGAAATAACAGAACATTTACAAAGTGATGAATATACAAGCTTGTTTGCTTCATGAATGTTAGAGGAAATTAAATGTCCATTACTAAGAATTTCATTAAGTAAATTATGTATCATCCAAACAATGGAATATTAAGCAACTTTGAAAGTGGTTTTTTGTAAAGGGAAGAGAAACAGATTTCAAAATATTTATAATTCATGTCACTTTTGCACACTTTCACGGTGAGCCACATGGATAGGAACAGTGGCTGAAGGCTAAATACCAGTTTTAACATTCAGATGTGAGTAGTTCGAGGAGTGTGGGTAATTTTTACTTTGTATTTTCTTACGTAATCTTAGTCTTTATACATACAACAATAGAGCTATTTCTACTTACCATTTTTAAAATAGTAATTTAAGAGAAAATGTGTGGGACGGGAGGCTGTGGCAGTCATTTTGAAGTGAGGGACAGGCCGATGTTGGGTGGTCGCTGAAGGAACAGGAAGTGAAGGCTTCTGTGGGAAATGGGTCAGGATGTGGTTACTGGTGCGGTTCAGGAGATGGAGGGAAGTGAAGGTGATGTCCCACGAGATCACTGACATCTGGACGCAGCAGCACGTGCGATGAGCCTGCAGGTCTTGCAGGAGCTTCAGAAGCACAGGCTGACCTGTGACTCGACATTTCTCTGAGACGTGCAGATCACTCGGTTTTCCTTTTATGTCGGGCTACTTTCAACTTTGTTGATCTTTGTAAATTTTCTCATGGCATGACCTCTTGTGGGGAAGTATTTGGAGAGACATACCATGTCCTGAATTTCTCTGGACTCTCCCATTATTTCTACTGTTTAGACCCGGGTTCCCACTTCTCAGCTGCAGGCGCAAGGGCAGATGCAGACCCAGGCACCCCAGCCAGCCCAGGTGGCCTTGGCGAAGCCTCCAGTGGTGTCCGTCCCGGCAGCTGTGGTCTCCTCGCCGGGAGTCACCACCCTGCCCATGAACGTCGCGGGGATCAGCGTGGCGATCGGTCAGCCACAGAAGGCAGCAGGTGCCGGCCCCAGCACACCCTCCCCTCCTGGGCTTGAGCCCGGTTTCATAGGCCTCTCTGGTGGCAGTGGTCTCCAGCAACCTGTGTTCTTTCCTCGCACCCACCCACTTGAGCCGTCACATGTTCTGGCACAAATGTGCCTTGGCGCTTTCCAGGCACAAGGCTTGGTCCTCAGTTGAACTGTTAACATTTTGAAATTTCCATCTTAATTTAAGTGTAATTTGTGAACCCAGAAACATTTTAATGTAGTTACGGGATGGCTTACTTGTCTCCATAGAGTTTCATAGTTTATTATTTTCTGTAGAGGTGAGTCCATTGGAACAGCTTGGCGTGAGCCTCGAGCTCTTTGCCCAATGTGCTGACTAAGCGGCTTTTGCTGCCTGCAGGACAGACCGTGGTGGCCCAGCCCGTGCACGTGCAGCAGCTGCTGAAGCTGAAGCAGCAGGCCGTCCAGCAGCAGAAGGCCATCCAGCCGCAGGCTGCCCAGGGCCCGGCAGCTGTCCAGCAGAAGGTACTGGGGCTGGGGGATTCTCACCTCTGGGTCTATGCCAAGGCAAAGCTGGCTGCTGGAGGAGAGGGTCCTGAGCAGACAAGGCCCCTTGTGGCAGCCCAGGCTTTTCAGAGAGTGGCTTCAAGGGCTGGAGGTGCTAGTGTGGTCATCCCTGTTGGTTTTTCCTTCCTTTTAAAGGTGAATGCTGTGTGTGATGTGATAAGTGAGCCTGAGGTCTTGGCAGGGGGGTGGCGGGGGTATAGTCTGTGAGGATGGCTGGGTGCCAGGTAAGAAGCCTGCATGGCATTGGGACAGACACAGGGGATGCAATTACATGATGGGGGCCGGTGGGCTCAGGGAAGCAGACGCAGCTCACACCACAGGACCCGCCTGGACTCCTAGTGGAGGACAGGGACGCCACACGGTCTGGACCCCAGAGAGAATGCAGCCTCTGTGCATGTTCGTGGTGAAAGGGGAGAATACACACCAGGGACTGACGTGGATGGGGGTGCAGCAGGGCACCGGGCTCCGAGGGTGTCTACAGGCTCAGCCAGCTCCCTGAGACGACACCTGTGCCTCTCAGCAGCCAGTGCTGTGTTGAAGGACGTGAGGGACATACAGTGGTGAGACAGCTCTGCCTCCAGGGACATCTGCTCATGGTGGCTCATCGGTGACACCCAGCCCAAGTCCCGGGCTTTGGATGGCTGGTGTGGGCCCTCAGACCCCATGTTCTGTTGGCACTGCTCTCTGGCTAGAGTTAGAAGGCGGGCTCTGATGGGAAGCCACGTGGCTGTGCGGGGAGCTACCCTGTTCCCTGAGCGCTGCGCTGGCCCCCTGCAGGCACCTGGTGCTCATCTTCAAGATGGAGGATGTTGTTTTGAGGAAACTGAGGCTCAGAGAAAAGGACTTGCCCAGATCACAGGGCCAGTAAAAGGCAGCTGGCTGACTCCAGCGGGCCCAGGGTGCTTTGTGTCACACCAGCTGGACACTGGCTGTGCTGTGAGCCGCTGCCACCTCCTGCAGAAGACCAGTGCTCAGGAACCCTGTGGTGAAGCCCTGCTGGTTGCCAGCGATGGCGTGCTCTGTGGGGAGCTGGAAGCAGAGCTGTCTTTGGAACCCAGAGCGGGAGGGAGTGAGCACTGAGGGAACACAAGCCGGGAGGCACAGGGTGTCTGGGTAATGCCATCAGCTCTGCAGTGGCTGGGTTCCGAAGACCAGCCTGCATCCCCACTCGGCACGACCGCTGCAGGGAAGTGCATGTCCTTTGGGTCGGGATGGTCATCTGCGTTTATTTACCTCTAGAAGGAGGAGATGGTACTGAGACTTACCTCCCAGGCCTGGTCAGCAGCCGCTGGGTGCATCATGGTGGTCCATGGGCAGATGTGGCCACGCTGATGCACAGGTGGGCGTGGTCCCTCAGGCGTGAGCTGTGCTTGAGGGAGCAGTGGAAGGCTGCAGCTGAAGTGCTAGGCTGTGTTCCTACGACTGGACAGAAACGCCCTTAGATGTTAGAAACCCCTACTTACCCATAGCATGGCTGATACATCAGATACGTAAACTTCAGACGTGCACAATATGATATGCAAAAATTGTGCATACCCGTTTGTTACCCCTTGTACTAAATATTTTCTCTATGTCTGCCAAATTCTTAAATTGGATTTGAGAGATTGTGATCGGTTTCAGTCACCTAAGTAGCAGCCCTGCGCAGGTGTGCCAAGGGTGTCAGGGTGCCCCACCAGCCCAGCTATGCAGGGAGCAGCATCCCGGGTGGGGTAGGGTGCAGGCAACTGCCGGGCCTCCTGGAGGAGAAGCTGGTGGCCAGGCCGCGTGGGCAGAGGTTTGCCAGGAGGCAGCGTCAGGCGCAGAGGGCAGGGGATGTGGGTACACACAGGGTTGGTCTGGGAGGTAGGCTGGAAAGGGGCTGGGTTCTGCCGTAGGGCCCAGAGCAGTCAGGAGTCCCGGGAGTCTTGAGCGCAGCGTGGTCTCTGCGGCCCTAATTTCGCAGTCTCTCCCCAGATCACTGCACAGCAGATCACCACCCCTGGCGCGCAGCAGAAGGTCGCCTACGCCGCACAGCCGGCCCTTAAGACCCAGTTTCTTACCACACCCATCTCCCAGGCCCAGAAACTGGCCGGGGCCCAGCAAGTGCAGACCCAGATCCAGGTGAGTGGGGAACAGGGTGAGGGCCCAAGTGTCAGGAGTGGGTGCCTGGCCTTTGGCTTGTATGTCTCGTGGGCTTTGCCAGCTCCCAGCTCTCGGTGGCTCCACTAGGTGGTGTACTGGAGGGAAGTGTTGTCTCCTGGCCTCAGGTTTCAGCCCCGCTGGCTCCTGGGAAGGCTCCTCTCTGCAGGTGCCTGTTCCGGCTGTCGCCAGCTTTGCCTTCATGTTCTGGATGTCGATCTCCAGCTCTGGGGGGTACAGCTGCCATCTCCCAGTTCCAGGCTCCTCTTCTCCCTTCCTAGTGTCTTTTTAAAAAAAATATTTTATTTTATTTTTTGATATTTCTTGTTCATCAAGTTCTACCTGGTGTCTTTGGGAGAATGGAGTTCCTGATTTCATGTGTGCAGTGTGCCCTCTCGTCTTCCTCTCTGCCTAGAGCTTTTATGTCCTGCTTCCTCCCAGAGCTTATGGAGTTACCTCCCTGCATCCTCCTCTTAAGAGCGAGGGAGTTTTACCTTCTCAGCTGGTCTTCCACCCTCCTGGAATTGGTTTTTGGGTTTGAGATAGAAACAGGAATTCAATTTGATGTGCTCTATGAACACCCTATTTTCAGCCCCATTTATTAAAAAGCCCACTCTGTCATCCATCAATCCACAGTGCCGCCTCCACCCGAGATCCTGTGGGGACATTCAGGGCTTTGTGTCTCAGAGGTTGTGCTGGTCCTACTGCACTCTCGCTCTGAGTGGCCGTGACACTTGGTGTCTGGAGGGCGAGTCCCCCTACCACACCCTTCCTTGGGTGTAAGGTGCCTATTCTTGGCTCTTTACCCTTCCGTGTTAATTTTAGTTAGCTTAATTCATGCACTACAATCAAAACTGCTGAAAGTTTTTGTTAGAATTGCATTGATTCTGTAGCTCTGTTTAGGGGAGAGGTAACATCTTTACAGTCTTGGCTTCAGATTCACCAATATGATACATTTTTTGTAAGTCTTTTTTAATGCCTTTTAGTGAAGTTTTCTAATTTTTTTTGTGAAAGTCTTATAGATTATGTTAGTTTTATTCTTAATCAGTATTTTTTGATGCTTTTGTAAATGGTATGCTTTTAGTTTCTGTTTTCCGTCTCTGGCTGTTGTACATTTTTGTACATTGGTTTTTTATTCTGGTCACCTTGCTAGATTCTGGTTATTTGAATAATTTATCTTAGGATTTGGTTTTGTTGCATTTCCTTCGTATACAGTTGTATCACATGTAAATCGTGACGATCTACTTCTCCCATCTTAAACCCTTGCTTGCTCCCGCCTGACTGTGCTCCCGCCTTATTGTGCTCCCGCCTTATTGTGCTCCCACCTTACTGTGCTCCCACCTTACTGTGCTGGCTGGGACCTGCAGCACCGTGGTGAATGTCAGAGTCCATATGTCACTGTGAAGTAAGGTGTTTGCTGTGTTTTTTGTCAGTGTAAGAAAATTCTGTTCTTTCCTGCTTTGCTGGAAGTTTCTGTTCCTCTTTGTTAATGGTGCTTTTTGTCTCGTTTAAAGCCCGTGTGTATGAACTCCCTCCCTTACACATCTCCTCTAGCCTCAAGGCTTTAAGTCCTGTCTCGGTGCGAATGACGCCCAGATTCATGTCTGCAGCCACTTACTGTCCTGAGTTCCAGATTATTCATCCTACCTGCCTTTGACAGATCCATGGAGATGTCTGATACCTTAGCCCTCAGGTGTGTACTCCTGACCTGCTCCTACCAGAGGCTTCTGGCTCAGGAAGGACAGCTGTCTCTGCAGACCTTTGCCTACTTGAGAAACCCCTACAGTCACCCATACAGGTCCAGCCCATTGGCAGGCAGTTGTGTGTGCTTGACTTCCAGAAGAGACCTGGACCAGCCACTTCCTGTTTCTGCCGTCAGCCCCTCCTCCGCACCCCTTCCCTGGTTGTTGCCATCTCTCCTGCTTCCTTTTTGCCATCCGTCCCCCAGGATACTCTGTGGTTGTGGGTATGTGTGTGGCTGGGTGGAGGGTATGGGGGTGTGGATGTCTCCTGGCCTGTGCACCCCTCTGTACTTGCTCCTCTGCACCTGTGTCCCTACCAGCCTTGTTCACACCCCCTTCCTGTTCACCTTTTCTGCTCTCTGTTTCTGTATTGTCACCTTCAACAAATACTGTAATTACTGTAATTACTTGGATCAGATGATTTTGTCTCCTCCAATAAAGCCAGCCCCATGAGTACAGGCGTGCACGAGGGCTGTTAGTACAGTGGACAGATGGACTGTTGTAGCGGGTTATAGTCGTTGAATCCTGTGATGTTCAATCATCGCTGTGTTCTGGGGTGACTCACGGGATCCTGTGGTGGTTGTCGTTGTGCATGGATGAGTTCAGTTGCTGCTCTCATGTGTGCTGCCTCAGGGCATTGGGCGGCACGGCCTCGTTCGAGCGCTCTGCCTGCCTTGTCAGGTCTGTTTCTGAGACGGGCTCCTGCTTGTGTTGCCCAGGCTGGCCTCGAACTCCTGAGCTCAAGCAGTTCTCCCTTCTCAGCCTCCGGAGTGCCTGGGACCCCAGGTGTGTGCCACGATGCCAGGCTTTTGCCAGGGTTTTTACTTCCTTTCCTTTCTTTTATTTTGCTATTCATTTTCTAACTTGTTAAGATGGAATACCACCTGAGCTTATTTCACAAATTTTATTATTTGGTTTTCCTTCAGTCTTAAATATTTTTGGATTTCCATTTTGATTTCTTCTTTATTCCCTGGGTTCTTTAAAGAAGTGTTTCTTAATTTCCAGGTGAGGTTTTCCAGTTCTTTTTATTATTGACTTAAAAATAAATCTTCATTGTATCATCAGAGAATGAGGTCTGAATGAGTTCAGTCTTTGGAATTTGTGGAAACTTGCTATCTGCTAAATACAGTCAGTTTTAAAAAATGGTCTGTGTCCTTCCCAAGCAGTCTTCAGGGTGGTTCCAGTTGTGAGATGGTTTTGTTGTGACTGGGTCAGGTTTACTGTTTGTGTCCTTTCGGTTTTGTGTGTCCTGCCAATCACTTGTGTTACTAGGTATTGAGAAGCATGTGTAGATGTCCCGTTCTGAGTATGCATTTATCTGTTTCTCCTTACCTTTCTCTCTGGTTTTGCTTTATATCTTAGATGGTTTTTCATTAGCCACATTTAAGTTTAAAGTTTTAAATTTTGTTATTTTGAAATGACTCTTACTATTTTCAGTAATATCTCTGGTCTTGAAGCCTATCTGCCTTGTATGAGTAAAGCATCACCCTCCTGTTGGAAGTTTCTGGTCTGTATTTTTCCCTCCTTGTTGTCAGCCATTCTCTGTGTGCCCCGCGTCACTCCTCTGAGCAGCTCGCAGGCAGGTCCGGCACTGCAGTGAGGTCAGGCTTTCCGTCTGTGACTCTTACCTGAAACATGTGCCCACTCGTCTGTATATAAGGGTGGGTATAAGGGTGGGTATGTTTGAATTTCTGACTTCTCTTTTGTTTGGACCCTGTTTGTCTTGCTTGTTCTGTTTTTTCTTTCCTCCCTTCCTTGCCTTCTTTTGAGCCACCTTTTAAAATTTTTTTTATTTTTTATTTTGTCAATTTTTGCCCCTCTGCCAGTGAAAAATTTTATATTTTCTTTCTGTTCTTTAAGTGGTTACCTTAAAATCTCCATGTGCACACTTCTGTATCAGAGTATGAAGTTAACGGTTGCCTCCAACCTGTTCTCCAGCGATGATCTTATCACACAGTAGCTCAGTTTGTTCATTTCAAATGCTGCTGTTAGCGTGCGTTTTAATTCTGTCCTTTTTCTTTTTTTTTTTTTTTTTTGTTTTGAGGCCTGAAAATTTATTTTAATTGATGAAAACAAAAAACTGCAGCTTCCGCCTCCTGTGTTCAAGCGATTATCCTGCCTCAGCCTCCTGAATAGCTGAGATTACAGGCACACGCCACCAGGCCTGGCTAATTTTTATATTTTTAGTAGAGATGGGTTTCACCATGTTGGCCAAGCTGGTCTCGAACTCCTGACCTCGTGATCCGCCTGCCTCAGCCTCCCGAAGTGCTGGGATTCCAGGTGTGAGCCGCCGCGCCCGGCCATAATTCTGTCCTTCTTCGTCTTGGACTTTTTATGTGGAATTGCTTTCCTTCCACTTGACCCATCCTTTGGAATTTCCTGAAGTGCTTGAAAATGCCTGTGTGTCATTCTTGTTCCTGGGAGACAGTTTTGCTTAGTACAGAATTCCCAATTGGCATTGTCTTTTTTTGTTTGTTTTTGTTTTTTTTTATTCGAGACAGAGTCTCACTCTCCTATGCTGGAGTGCAGTGGCACGATCTTGGCTCACTGAAACCTCCGCCTTCCATGTTCAAGAGATTCTCCTGCCTCAGCCTTCCAGGTAGCTGGGACTACAGGCGTGCACCACCATGCCCAGCTAATTTTTGTATTTTTAGTAGAGGTGGGGTTTCACCATGTTGGCCAGACTGGTCTCGAACTCCTGACCACGGGTAATCCACCTGCCTTGGCCTCCCAAAGTGCTGGGATTACAGGCATGAGCCACCGTGCCCGGCCGGCATTGTTTTCTGAGTGCATTCACTGTATCATTTCCTCACTATGGCTGCTTTTGTTGTTGAAGAGGAGCCGGTGTCTGTCCAGCCTTTCACTCTTCCAGGGTCACCTCTCTTTTCCCCACCCTCTGCCTGTTACTGAGACATTGGCTTTGTCTGTGTTGTTTTGCATTTTCATGCCGATGCTCCAGCTTCTCGAATCTGGGGCAGTCTCTCTCATCTCTTTAGGAAGTGAGCAGCCACTGTTTGTTTAGATGTTGCCCCTGTCCTGTTTTCTCTGACCTCCGGGTCTCTCAGCAGCTTTTATATTTTCTGTGTCTGTCTCATTGTACCATATGCTGAGTCATGTCTTTCGCTCTTTCTCCTCAGTCACTCATTTTCCCCTTGGTTAGGTCAAATCTCTCAGGCTTGTCTGTTGAATTTTTATCTTGATGATTTATTATTTTATTTTCAGAAGTTCCCAAATACGCCTGATCTTTGTTTATAGTCTCTTGTTTGCAGGCTTCACAGACTGAGCCCAGTGGTTTTCTGAATCTGGTGATTACCCTGTCTGAAATGTGCTGCATCTGTAGGGACTCCTTGTGGCCTGGGGCAGAGGTGGATTTTTGCTTCTGCAGGTACCTTTGGGTGGCATCAGGAACGCCGCTCAGTGTGTGGCTCGGGCTTGCGCTCGGCTCTCAGGTGTCACCCACCTGGCCTCTGAATCTGTGTCTGCTCCTCTCTGCTCCCTGGCACTGAGGCTTAGGGCAGGTGCTTTTCTTACAGATGCCACTGGAGGAAGGGGGTGCCTTCTTTGCAGCTTTTGGGTACCTTTGTGGGGACAGTGTCTCCCTCCAGGATGGCAGCTGGCAGTAGCATGGGGCTCTTTTGCGAGCTCCCCACCGAGAGCTGGCCTATACCTGGTGTCTGTTCAGCTGTGTCCTATGCGACCCTGAAGACCATAGTGTGCATCTCCATGTGGCCGGTGATCCCAGCAGAGGTTGTGCAGCTTTTCTGCTCTGTGGCTCGTGGTGCCCGCCTGTGCTTAGGTTTGGAGACTGGCAGTTCCTGACTCTTTGCAGGTTTCTTGGTACATTTCAGATTTCTTCCTAGTGCTTTACTTAAGACGTCTCAGGATTTTCAGTGCTGTGCCAAGTAAGTCCTGGGCCATTGTGGTCTTGAGATGGGTGGGCCCTGGAGCACCGGCCGCATCTTTGTTTCTCATCAGTTCCACAGGGGGCGCTCAGGGCACTTCTTATCTTAGTGAATCTTATTTATAATTGTTTCTTTTAAGTGACAGTAAGCTAGTAAATGCCTTCTGATTGATTTTAATTTTAGTAAGGACTAACATTTATTTGGATCTTTGTTGATGTATGAGTAAATCATATGATTTCACATTTTTCCCAGAATTATCTTGGGAAATATTATTTTCATCCGTGTTCTATAAGAAATAGGACCCACCAAGAGGCCAGGGTCCATGAGGGCCTTGTGCAGGGAGGGCCCTTGAAATCAGGGCCCCCAGCAGCTGTCCACGCTGGAGCCTGTCTGTGCTCTGGGTGCATGCCTAACGGTGCTGATAGGACGCACAGATGGCCCAGAGCCACTTACTACATCAAGACAGCGGGAGACGCATGCAATAGCAAGTGCACAGAAAGTGGGCACTGGGTGGAAAGCACTGCTTTATAAATAGTCATATTCAATCATGACTAAGAAAAATGTAGAAAAATGAAAAATTACCAGCCTCAAAACCTTGGTACATCTCTGGGTTCCCCATTTCAGCTGGCTGCCCGAGCTGCACTGTACAGCTCATTGTTGGAACGCTGTCCAGGCCTGTCACATGCAGAGCTCTTGGGACTCACAAGACGCTCAAATACTTACCATCCTCAGTCTGATTCTTTCATATAAACTTGGAGTAGTTTTTGTGAAAAGAAAAAATGTGTCTGAAATATGAGACCAAAAATAAGCTTAAATGATGGGTGATGGCAGATTGGGGAGGCAGTCAGCTGACTCACGATGCAGTGGAGCGATTTCTGTCTCACTGCTGCAGGTGGGCACGGTATGAGAATTGCTCTTTTGTGTCACCTGGTCGTTGTGTTTTTTGCATTAACTGAGAAGGACCGAAAGGGAGGAAAAATCTTTTTGTGCACATGCTCCTTTGAATTCTATGTTTGGCTTTTTTTGTTTTGTCAAAGGTTGCAAAACTTCCTCAAGTTGTTCAGCAGCAAACACCCGTGGCCAGCATCCAGCAAGTTGCCTCTGCTTCCCAGCAGGTAGGACGTGTAGACAAGGTGGAAACCTCACATTTCCCAGGTCAGAGAATGGCTTGTTTCATCTGAGGTCATGATGAGGGAATCACTTTTGATTTTTGTGATACACACAAAAACATTAACTTCAGGGGAAAAACTAGATATGCTTAATAATGAGAAGAAGAGTGAACAAGCATTTTGGGGTGTTGTGTCAGCCGCACTGAGGGAGCCTGTCCTTGGGCTCACTCCCAGGACCCTTCGTTCACCGATTACTGCGAGTGTGTCCTGCAAGTCGCAGACACCCTGTGGTTTTAGGGAGGCACAGGCCTCAGGCAAGCAGGCTGTGCTCGGGGGCCCGCCCGTGAGCAGAGACGCTGTGGGCACAGGGGCCCTGCCTCCCACAGAAGCCCTTCCGGCGCTTTCATTGTTGTCGCTGATGCTCCACAATATGACTTTAGCACAGTGCTTCAAATGTAAAGCAGTGCCTTAAACTTTTTAAATTTTGTTCAAAGTCACACTGGCATATAGATTTCGACAATCCAGGTTGTATTAAAAGCTTTACTACAACAACAAAATCAGTCCCTGACCCAACTCTCACCTTTTCCCCAGAGGCGTCTGGTGTTAGTCTAAAAGCAACCGTCTCTTAATTTTCCACTTGTGTTTAGTTAGAAACCAGAGGTCATATTGTTGTGTGACTGGTCATTCTCCATGTCATAAAAGCAGAGTCAGTGAAGCTTCTCGAGCCCTCCCCATCCCAAAGAACGTCCCCTGTCCTGTCCCTGGACTGAGTTTCCTGGGCAATGTGTGTTTTCTGACTCTCTCGGCTCAGGCTTCTCCACAGACTGTGGCGCTCACGCAGGCGACAGCGGCCGGGCAACAGGTGCAGATGATCCCTGCAGTGACTGCGACTGCCCAGGTGGTTCAGCAGAAACTCATTCAGCAGCAAGTGGTGACCACGGCATCGGCCCCGCTCCAGACCCCAGGCACTCCCAACCCAGCCCAGGTGCCCACCAGTTCTGACAGCCCAAGCCAGCAGCCCAAGTTACAGATGAGGGTCCCTGCTGTCAGGCTAAAGACACCCACTAAGCCTCCGTGCCAGTAGTCAGGGCAACAGGGCTGCCTCTCATCTAAAGCAAAACTACCTTCCTCACAGAAAACGCTTTATTTGTGAACCTCGGGACAATGTCATGCAAGATATTCAGCACTGGGAAAGATATAATTGAAACAAAGTAGTGTAATCATTTTATTAAAATGCATCCCGCACTGCAGGACAAATGGTCCTTATGGAGCACCCCCTTCTCTGTACTATGTGACTCATGGAAAAAGTGACAACGCGGTTTCTTCTAAATCATTTCGCCTTTCAGACCCCACCCGCACCGGTCCCCCAGAGCCTAGTCCTGTGTTCTGAAGGCCATTTCGAATTTCTTTGTGAGCGTGTAGTGCTTTGCGTGCCACAGAAGCCGTCTAGCGTGTGAGGAGCATACGGTGGACTTTCTAAAGATAAGACGTGCCATGTGCCAGAGTTTAGTTCTTTATACCTTACTGAAAAATGCCTCATGGTCTTCGTAGAGGAGAAGGCCTGTCTAAAGTAAATCATCCGAGATTGGTTTTCCATTCCAAAGAAAGCCAATATGGTTCTTTCCTTCCCTCCTAAAATGTGACTTAACTTTTAAGAGAAATGTCCTAACACCCACCTAAACACGCAAGGCACGTTCCTGGCTTGTGTTCAAGGGAAATCATCAGTCATTGCACTGTTATTCCAAAGAGCAGCCAACAGTGGCTTCCCCCAGGCCCACCCCGCAATGGGATTGGCTTTCGTTTAATGGAAACTTCTGGGACTGATGCCTAACTCAGTGCACTCAAGATGCATCTCCAGCTTTTGGAGGAAGCTGGTGTTTGATGTAGTGTGTTAAACAGCTCCTGAGAACCTTTGGGACGCTCCGCCATGGCTGGCGTGAGGCCCAGAGGACCACGCAGAGGCAACGTTAGTACAGATGTCATGGCTGAGGGGACGATGGGCCCGGACTCAGGGAGCCAGGGCGAATGTGACAGACACCCCTTGCTGCCACAGCCAGCCCTTTGACAAAGGCGGGCTCGTGATTCTGGAAGTATTGGCTATAGTGGTGGGCCCAGTCAGCTCTTCCTTGTGGACTTGTGACAGCAGGTTTTCTCTCAGATAAGCTTGTATGGTTCTGCTGTTGTGGAAGAAAGGAAGCCCAGTATTTGCTACTGGTTTTCGCTTTTTTACTATGACGAGAAAATAAATGCAATTTTAGTGGAATTGACTGACTGACAATGTGTCCTTCCTTTGAAGTTTTCACCAAAACAAAAGGGTCCATATCTAATAATATCCTTTGTGCTCTGGCTTGATTTTGGCCTATTTTACATTATTTGGTCCAGGAAATTAGGTTATATTAGGATTTTTTGTATACTAAAAATCAGTTACGGCACCATAAAGATTTTCCATTTTTACATTGTATTTCATCTGCTTCCTCTCCATTCTCTCACTTTAAGTGACATTGAGGAAGGTATTCTGTCCCGTATGTTTCGGTGGACAGCGATACGGCAGGATTCAGTGAAATCAACTGGGGAGCTCACTTTTGAGCTCTTGATAAGAAATTTGGAGAAAAGTAAAAATCAAGCTTTGATAAAACAGAAGAAATTAATCTTTTAGTTAGGTGAACATATGAAAGCAGAGGACTGGAATCTGTTTCTTCTAACCAAACTCGTTCTCCCTGACTCGGCATGTGCCGTGAGAGCGCAGCTTGCCGGAGGGAGGGCCGCTGTGTGGGCCTCGGATCTGGCTCCCGGTGGAAATGTTTACTCCTCCTCATCCAGAAATGTGCAGAACTGAAGTGTTTAGAAATTCTGCCTTTGTCATCTGTTTTAATTTGCGTGCCCTGTTCGGTTTTTTTGTCTTTCCCAAATCTTGCTGTTCTCTTTATAGGTGAAGATAAAATGTTGAGTGCACTTACTTTAGAATATCCTAGCCATAACTTAAGTAAAAGCGCTCTATTCATCTGAAACACTGCAAGAGAATTTAGCAACATCTCTCAAAAGCTTTTTTGGAGAGATGAACGGGATTCTGAATATTTGCAATGTGGAGTTCCAGCCCCGATCTCACGTCAGTGAGGGTCTCCTGTCGAGATCTCAAGTGTGTTTCCTTTGGCTGTTCTCTAATACAAAATATGGACATATTTTTACTCGTAGCACTCAATTTAGTAACTTCTAGATGCTACCGTTGACCTGAGTTAATTTCACTTTGTCTTGTAAGTAAAAATTCTCCTTTCAGTATATTATTTTCTTGGCCTTCCGTTTTAAAGGTTAAAGTTTCTAACCTAAGAATTAAGTACGCGTTCAGGAAGCTGTTGTCTAGGCCCCTTGTGAATCTGGGTTCATTCCAATACGGCAAGTAAGAGTTGGAAACTTTGAGAACACGGACTGTAATGGCAGCAGCCCAAATACTGTCAGACTCTAATTGGCCACCCTGGGAAACAGTTGCCCTGTTATTCTTTAAAGAAAGACGTTTATTCTAATGAAAGCCAGACTGTTTTTAAAGCATCTGGCAGGAGGCAGAAGGTTGGATCCAAGCCCTTGTTCCGATTTGGTGCCTGATAAGATGGGGGTTTCTCTTTTTGTGACCTTTATTATTATTTTGTTAACTGTTGTAACCAGTTAGCTGTTGTGTTTTAAAATAGAAAGGAACCAGACTGAAATTGTAAATACTTTGTAAACATAAGCATTTGTACTTGAATAGTAGGATTTTAAAGGGCATTGATAGCCTACCAAACAAAAGGCAAAATAAAGTGACCTTTTTCTATATGTTATCATTTCGTCTTTCATAGAAAACTGGTATTTCAGTAAAAATGAGATGCTAATTGGGTTTTTCATTTGTGTGAGGAAAAAACAAAACCAAACAAGTAATGTTGGAGCCAGAGGTGTTCCCCTCACCCACTCTTCCGTGGCCATAGAAGGACCTGGAAGGAACAGAAACCACATTCACTGAGTCCACCAGGCAGCCACTTCCCAAAGCCGCATGTGGAGGAAAGAGCCGGCGCCGCCCTGCCCCACGTGGCCTGCCAGCCACACAGCACCCGTCATCACTGTCCTGGGGGCCATGGTGGCCCCGTGTGGCCTGCCAGCCGCACAGCACCCATCGTCACTGTCCTGGGGGCCATGGTGGCCCCGTGTGGCCTCGCAGTGCCTGTTGTCACTGTCCTGGGGGCAATGGTGGCCCCGTGTGGTCTGCCACTTGCACAATACCTGTCATCACTGTTCTGGGGGCCATCGTGGCCCCGTGTGGCCTGCCACCCGCACAGCACCCGTTGTCACTGTCCTGGGGGCCATGCTGGCACCAGTGTCCTTCCACACCCAGTCCATGTGCCCGAGTAAGGGCAGGGACACCTGCTCACAGGTGCTCACCACCGAAAACGCCTGTGAGCAGGTGGCCTGGGAATTGTTGCTTCTCTTTTTCTTCTGCATTTGGACTTTTCTTCGTTTCGTTTTAAATCTGATTACAAAAATCAATGCATACTTTTAATTGAAAATACCCGCATTACGCAAAGTAAAGAAGCATCCCAGAAGCCCACGGTTAGTTTTGGTATCTTTTCTCCCACCACAAAAACGGGAGTTCACGGGCCACATGGCCCTGCAGCTTTGGGCTTCCACTTCACGTCTTCCAGGTTGAAAGCTCCCAGGGTCTGGGTGCACACTTGGTGTCTGCAGGTGATAGTGCAGATACCAGGGTGGGTGGGAAAACCAGCTGCAAAGCCCGGCTGGTGCCCCCTGGCCCCTGGGGGTCTGTACTGCAGTGCCTGGTGTACCTGCGGCTCCATGCCTACCAACCACGTAACCAGGGGTGGGTGACTTCCTTCTTCAAGGCCTCTGCGTCCCCATGTCCCCTCTCCTAAGGTGGCTTGAGGATCCAGTGCAACATTTGGTGCTGCACTTGGAGTCCATCTTTTATACTCCCAGTGGAGAGGACTGCAGGTTTTGCAAAGGCTACTTACTGTTTCTGTCATCCTGACCCCACCATCACGTCTTTGCCAAGTGTGCCGGTGGCAGCAGGCCCTACGGCGGGCTTATCTGGCCTTGAGCCTGTTTCTGTTTGCTGTCCAGTAGCAACCAGGGGCCAGTGGGTGAAGCGATTGTGCCTGCACACAGCCGTCAAGACCTTAAGGTAGCCTCTGAGCCCAGAGTGTGTTGTGTCACCTCCACTCAAGATGTCAGATCGTGTGACAGCTGCCCACCAGCATCCCAGAGTTGGGCGTTGTGATCCAGGGAACAGGAGGGGAGATTCCTTTGCTGTGGGGTGTCCTGCTATGCTGTTGCTGCAGCATCTGTTCCCCCTGGCCACATTCATTTT